CCAAAGGCCTACACAGAACCTATTAACAGGGTATATTAGAGCATAAAAAAAGAATGTGAAAAGTAACTTTAAGGTTTCAAGCCTGGGGAACTGAAAGAAAAATTTTTTCTTTGCAAATTAGAAGGTAAATTAGAAGGCTTTGCAAATTAGAAGGTTACTGGAAGACGGTCTTTTATATCAACATAATAATATCCAAGAGGCTGGGTACAGTGGGCTCACACCTGTAATCCCAGCACATTGGGAGGCCAAGGCGAGTGGACAGCTGAAGCCCAGGAGTTTGAGACTAGCCTGGCCAACATGGTGAAACTCCTTCTCTACAAAAGATATAAAAATTAGCCAGGTGTGGTGGCACACACCTGTGGTTCCAGCTACTCAGGCAGCTGAGATAGGAGAATCGCTTGAGCCCTGGGAGGGGCAGGTTGCAGTGAGCCAAGACTGTGCCACTGCACTCTAGCCTGGGTGACAGAGCAAGACCATGTCTCAAAATATATAAATTATGTAAGTGACAGAGCAAGACCATGTCTCAAAACATATAAATTATATAAATAATACTACACAAAAAACCACCAAAAATTAAGAGATTTACTTGGAGTCAGAGCTGGAGATGTTACTCTAAGAATAATCCACATATAGAGAACTTGAAAGCTGATCTCAGAGACTGGGAAAGAACAGAAATTCAAGAGAGCATCTATGGAGACAACCATGATAAAGGGTTCCAGAGAGGGATAAAACGAACCACAAATAAATGGCAGTCAGAAAGGTATGTGAGATAGAGATTTCGAAGAATTTAGTGTCACTGAAGTCAGGAAATGGTTTTATGCGTGAGTGGTCAGCATCAGACTTCCAAACCTCTTGAGGGCAGAAATTCTTTCCTCTCTGAACACGACCAGAAGCCCCTATCACAGTACCTGCCACACGGTGTGCTCTCGCCAAATACTAATACTGTACCCTTGCACTGTGCCTGCCATATGCCAGACACTGTTTAATTGATTTACATACATGAATTCATAATTCTCACCACAGAAGGTGCTATTATGCCCGTTCTACACATAGAGAAACTGAGTCATCAAGCATTTAAGTAATTTGCCTGAACTCCCACACCTAGGAGAATCTGTCCTGTAAAGAGACTACTGATTAGATCTGGTTAGAACATTACCAAGCTGAGAGCAAGTCCAGTGCAGTGCTAGAGGAAGAACTCAAATTGCAGGATGTTAAAGCACACCTGAGGTATCCATCACTTCCTCCCTGTCCCCTCTCCTTTTGTTAAAGATGTTGGCATGGCCAGTTTCAAATGTGCAGCCCCATGAACTGTGAGACAAATCTAAGTCTCTTCCTCATCCATTTTTCCCATTCTCATCTTTCCCCACTCCCCAGCCATCTGCACTAGAAGCAGAAACCTGACCAATTGGATTCTCTCTCTAGAAACAGAACTGAGACTTGGAGATGTTTGTCGAGAACCATGTTGCACAGTTAGTGAGTCTGGTGTTGGCATCATGGCAAACCAAAGTCTCATGCAAACCAAAGTTTTGGGGAAGCGGAAACCAAGAGCTTTAAAGAGAAGGCCAATCTGAAAGAAACTGGAATAGATCTGCGGTGAGTAGCAGAGACGTAACACCATGTGCCTCCAGAGAAAAACTGGAAGAATGACTGCCTGAAGACTTCCCAATTTCCAGAACGCTGGATTGGAATCATGCAATGGACTTCAGCAGCACTGTATGACAAATGCTTTTTTTAAAGTAGGCTAATTAAATTGGCTTTTTGATCCCTGCAATCAAAGAATCCTCAAACCATTATAGGAGGTAAAAAAAAAAAAAAAAAAAAAACACTGAGTAAGCAAGTACTATGTGCTTCGTACTAACTTTTTGAGGCGGGTATGAAGAAAATGAAGCTCATTTAATTAACAGACATGACTCCCAAACCCAAACTCTTTACAATATACCTCATTTTCACTCAAGTAACATCCTCTCTGTTCCACGCCTCTACCCCATTTATTTTCTTTCCCAAAAACCATTCTTAGACTATTCTAAAAATGATAACTTTTCTCCTCTACCATGTCCAGTCTCTAATCTACAAATTTCAAATGCCTTTACTCCAGTAATTTTTTGTTGTTTGTTTTTTGAGGCAGAGTCTTGCTCAGTCGCCCAGGGTGGAGTGCAGTGGCAAGATCTTGGCTCACTGCAATCTCCATCTCCCAGGCTCAAGCAATTCTTGTGCCTCATCCTCTCGAGTAGCTGGCATTACAGGTGTGTGCCATCACACGTGGCTAATTTTTGTATTTTTTAGCAAAGACAGGCTTTCTCCATGTTGGCCAGGCTGGTCTCGAACTCCTGGTGTCAAGTGATCCACCCGCCTCAGCCTCCTAAATAAAGTCCTGAGATTACAAGCGTAAGGCACCAGGCCTGGCCCAGAAGTAATTGTAAATAAACTTTTATATGTAAGGATGACTGGGAGAATCAAGACATTTGAATCTTTCCAGTCTGTTTTTAAACTGATAAAGCATTTTTCTTTCTCTTACCCATATTACCAACTTATTGACACTTAACTCACACCCAGGCTTAACCTAGATCTTCTCTTGACCAGTTCTCACTCTTCAATCCTTCCAGGTAGTTGATTAATAAAATGCAGACAAGACAGAAAAAAAAAAAATCAGTTACCCTATCCAAAGTTACTTCAATTACTTTTGAAAATCCAAACACTACACACCCTACAAGTTTGAAACCCTTGCCAAAAGGTGATGAAGACCAGCCAAAAAATTTATTTTTCTATTTCTGAAAATTAGTTTGCTAAGATGGAGTAAGAAGAAATTTTTTTCTAATCAACACTGGTCTCCCCTGCCCATTCACAAAGAGATATTTTCTACGTTACATTTTTGTCAAGTATAGAGAATTCCTCTACCTATTTATAACTGACAATTTCTCTTAAAACGGTCTTTAATATGTTGTCCAAATTGGTTTGAGTTCCTTTTCCAGACAGTAAGTTCCTAAAATTAAAAAATAAAAAAAATTAAAAGTACCATATTTTTTCCGGCCTCTAAAGGCAAAAGACGGCTTCTTCAGCTTCTAGACTTATCCCTGGAGTTCAGGGGGCTAGAGAAGGCTAGAGACTTTCTCACTATGGTTCCATGTCTTAGGCAACTTCCCATATCCTCAACAACTGCAAAATATCACTGGCCTAGGAGTCCACTGCTAGACCCATATCAATCTCGTCGATAGTGCAGTTATGTGGGTACATACACTAGTCACTAGTTCAGCTTGGGAACCCACTTCTTCCCTGATTCCCTTACGTTCCCTTGACCTTTCATAAATTACTATTACAGCTACAATTAATAGTGACATTCACTGTTCACCCCGGGTCAGTTTTGTCAGGAGGAACAACAACAACAAAAAAATGAATAATCAGGGTACCATTTGAAAAAGTAAACGTTTAAAAAAAATCATTCAGTTGCACTATTTTAACTGACACCAATCATGTCAGGCACTGGGCTGCCATCCTAAAATCATGACGTTAAAAAAAATTATCTTTGCATTACTGATACCCCATTTTTTCTTAGCACTCCATATTTTGAGTATTTTCAGACATAACGAAATCACAATCAACATGACATTTCTAAAACAGTGGGAAGCAGCTAAGCAAAACGAGCATTTTGCAAGCGATTGAAAAGCTGAAAAGAGAACAGGAATTAACTCCAGTTTGTACTAAAGCTATTAGATGTGTGTCTCAGCAGTCTTTCTCACCATGAAACTCCTTAACATCTAAAGCTAAACCACAACCAACTTTATATGGTTTTAGAAGACAGAGAAAGCAGAGAAAAAAATGAAAGCTGGTAATATGGGGAAGAGAAAAAATGTTAGCTTTTACTGTCATTGTCATTTACTTTTTTTTTTAATACTTCGGTTACATCTACATATTTTTTATAAAGCAGCTTAGATGCCTGGATTAATAGCAGTATACTCAATCCATTCGGAGTACTTTATGGCCAGCCTTAAGCCATTAACAACCTAGGAGGGTATTTGACAGCAAATGCAAATATCAATACTACGAAGAGCCCCTTGACGCCTTCCGTTTCTGTCATAAGATCTGAGCAGCGCCTGCTTCCAGGGCTCCGGGGTTCTGACAGTGAAGGATGCTGTTCGCGGACAAAGTGCAACGTCCTCCTCCTGCTGCAAATGTTCCTGTGCGCACACCACGTACCCGGGGGACCGTCTCTAAAGACCACCCCGTGGATTTAAACAGCCTGTCATTAAAAGCGGCGGCAGCTCCACCGCCACACTCGGGACCCCAGGAAGACCCGTCTCGAGACCGAGCACCTCCCTCTACTCTGGGCCCGGTGCCTTGGGTTTCCTCCCTCGGCCGCGCTCCTCCCGCCCTCCTCCCTCCGCCATGCGAAGGCGCAGCTCTCGGGCGGCCCCGAAGACAGAAGAGGGACCACGGGCCGGCGGAGGGGCTGGGGCGCCGGAGCCGGGCCGCTCCATCCATGCCAGCCGCATACCTGCCGCCACCCCATCTAACCGCAGCCTCCGCGGCGAACGCATCGGAGTCCGGCTCACCTGGGGGCCGCAGCCTCCGCAGCTCATAGACATGTCACCGGCCGCAACGACCCGTGAGCGAGCCGGGCGAGCAGGCTGGCCCCCTCCCGCGTCGGCCCCCAGCCCTCCCCCCTCCCAGCCCCGCGTCCCGCCCCCGCCCTGCCCACCCCTCGGCTTCCGCCGCCGCCGCCGCCGCCGCAGCTCCGGCCCGCAACACCGCCTACTCTCCACGCCTCCCACTCACTCTCGCGAGAGGGCAGCGCGCCTCTCGCGAGAAGAACTCCGCGGCCGAGCCCGCGCAAAAGTGAGTGGGCGTTTAAAAAGGGAAAGAAGGAACAGGAAAAAAAGCCTTCCCACGTGCTCCGGAGCAGCTAGGGGAGCAGCCCCGCTGATCACATGATTTAAAGGGGGCCTCTCCATTGGCCGGGACCCGCTCAGCCTTGGGAGCTTTAAATTCGAGGGCGACCTACGAACCTGCGGCGGACGTCTTGCGTGCTTCCTGGTCCGTTGCCTTGGAAACGGCTTAACCCTTTCCTCTGGCAAGTCCCCAGGCCTTGGCTTGCTCCGCAGATTTGGTTTCAGGCTCTGCCTCTTTTCCGTCGACCCCTTAGTCTTATAGCCTGGGGCCAGCTGGGCTCCTTCTTCGCCACAAGGCTAGTTTTGCTTTCTTCCGAAGCCCCGGGCCCTTCCCAAAGTGGCAGCCCCACCAGATCCGAAGGCCCAAGGAAGGCTCATCCTTTCTGATGACTCCACCCCTTTTCCCAGCATCTCCAGGGAGGACCACTCACAGCGCACAGGGCAACCGGCCCTATCCCAGCCAAGAAGTAGCACCCAGGGTTCTCAGGGCCCTAGTGCTCACCCTGATGTCTTTACATGGTATGGATAATCGGAAACTAAAGCTTTGGTCACTGGGAATCCTAACCAGAGATGAAAAGCTGTTGTGCTGATTATTTTCACCTAAAATCCGAAGGGCCAGTATTGCCCTGTCTCCTTAAGGGCATCTGTTCCTCAAGAGTGGAAACACCTGGCAATAAGAAAGACATTTTTGAGTGTATCCTCATTATGAGTTAAGTTTTGCCCTGTTGAGAGGAGAGGGTCAGGGAAGAAAGGGTGCAATTCATTTGTTCATTTCTTCATTCAACAAACACTACTCCAGGCTTTGTCCATTGAACATCAGGTCCATTGAACAATGATGAAGATAAGTAGTGTAGATTCTAGGGAACTTATCTGAGGATGAAAAGAAAACAAAATATCTGTTGGTTTTAAGCTGTATGTAAAGAAGTTACAGTAAGTGACGTGATGGTGATTGAGTGGCTAGTAAAGGGGCTGCCCTTTTGAGGAGGAGACATTTTAGCAGCGATTTGAATAACAGTCATGCAAAAATCAGAGCGTACAGCATTCCAGGAAAAGGATAACACTAATTCAAAGGCCCTAAGTAAGGACCTGTTCTAGCGCATTTGAGGGAAGAATAAATGAGAAAGTAAACTTTATTGAGCCTGGAGATGGAAACTGTAAGAGTTAAAGAAAGAAACAGAAAAGGCAGCTTAACAGAGACAGGTTTATTTTGGAGAATAAACCTGAGAGGGTCTTCTGGCCAATTTCAGTCAGTAGTGTTCTCTCTTACAGACTAAAGGTATTTAGCGGTTGAAGGAGGGAGAGCATATTGCAGGCTTGGAATGTTTCTGGGTGGAGGAGGGTTTTATTGCTGGGGGTTTAATGTCTCTGGTTGGAGGGGAGGCATATTTCTGATCAGAGGGGGGTTTATCTCAGGGTTGGAATATTTCTCATCAGAGGTGTCATTTGTGGTTTATGGTCATGCTGACATTAGCCATTAGGCTGATGTTTCTGGGGCTGGATTTAGGCAGTTTTTAATCAAGGGGAACTTAAAATGGTGGTGCTTGTCCAAGATGGAGATGCTCTTGCTGAGTCAGAAACTAGCATGGATCAGATCCTGTAAGGCTTTGTTAGCCAAGAAAGGAATTGAAAGTTTATTCTAAATGCAATAGAAGGTATTAGAAAGTTTTTAATAGGGGAGAGACACCCAGAGTTTACTTTAAAAAAAAAAAAAAGTCTCTTCCTTGAAAATAATGGGTCTTAAAGAGGCCAAAGCAGAAGCAAAGATTAGGAGATTTATAGGCCAGGTGGGAGACAGTCATGAAATTTAATTTCCAATGATCTTAACATTTCTAAACTTCATTAGGTCAGAGTCCTGATGCTGTTTCTGCCTTTGTTGAAACACGTGGATTGCTCCTAATTACTAGGAAAAATAAAATGGAGAATTTTCTTTTGTAACCTGGGGGAAAACAAATGGCTGAAAAGGAAGGGCCCATCTTTAATTTTTTTCCCTCCATTACGCTACACTGACAACCACCTCTTCTGTCTATTCTTAAAGTCAGTTCTAAGAAGAGAACAGAAAATGAAATTCTATGCAGATACTTATTCTTTAGTGTAAGATTTGAAAAGATAGAAGTTGAAAGCTCGGAAATGAAGAGGATGTTTCACCAAAAGAAATGAATCAGGAGACGAGTTCCAACACGAAGCTCTGTTATTAGGGATACAACCAAATCAAGGTTCCTTATCACCACTGAGTCTCAGCTTCCTCATACATAAAACAAAGCAATTTAACTAGCCTACACCTAAAGTGGTTAAGCCTGAATTACACTTTAACATGCACACACCAGTAGGACGGAAGCTGGAAAGGGAAATGAAATGATTTTTTATGAAAACCTAACAGAGTCAGCGGCTCAACCCAAATGAAATTAGACACACACGTACACCAGCTGAGGAACTCTGAACTGGTTAATACGGATACCAGGAATGCTTCCCTAAGAAACCTTGGCCTTCTCAGAGTGTGAAAACGGAAACACTGCCACCTGCTCAACCTCGAATTCCATTTCTCTTAAGCTATTTTGAACCTGTGTAGCATTAAATAAATAATGATTCATATGTTCCTAATCAGAGTTTAAGAACTAGCTAGCAAATAAATTTTCTAAAAGGTCTGAGGCAGTATCCTAAAGTTAAGCTAACACCTTAGTTTTAACGAAAGCAAGATTTCAAGATACATAGGGCTACTTTTTAAAAGGAAAAACGCCAAAAAGAGAAAAAGTACTATTTTAACAAAGTAGGATCAGTCTTTTAAAATGCTAATGGAGTACTTTTTGAGGGTTTACAGCCCTCATAATGATTAACTGAAACAGCTGCTTGGTACTGCTAATTTAGATGAACTCTGGGCCCAACTCTCCCCATCGAACATGTATTAACAGAGCCAGAAATAAATCCTCCCAACTTCCCCTAGTGAGACAGTCATTGTGGTCTCTTGTGCTAGCTACAGTTATTTGCAGTACAATTAATACAAAGTGAGAAAAAAATTAGGATTGAGATCCAGTTCTGCTGTGTCCCCAGTTCCTGTATTCTTTTTAAAACTGTGTTTTTGTTTTTTTTTTTAACAGTTTTACTGAGATGTAATCCATTTACCATACAATTCAGTGCTTCTGGTAGATTTACAGTTGTGCAACTATCATCAAAATCTAATTTTAGAAGTTTTGTTCCTCCCTAAAAGAAACTCACGTACTCAGTAGCAGCCAGTCAACTTTATGTCTCTAACGACTTGCGTATTCTGGGAAACTAGCATTCTAAGCAAACTATCACAAGGACAGAAAACCAAACACCGCGTGTTCTCACTCATAGGTGGGCTTTGAACAACGAGAATGCATGGACACAGGGCGGGGAACATCACACACCGGGGCCTGTTAGGGGTTGGGGGACTGGGGGAGGGATAGCATTAGGAGGAATACCTCATGTAAATGACAAGTTGATGGGTGCAGCAAACCAACATGGCACATGTATACCTATGTAACAAACCTGCACGTTGTGCACATGTACCTGGACAGTTCATATAAATGGAGTCATACAATACACGGTCTCTTGTGTCTCACTTCGTTCATTTAGCATGTGTCAAAGGATCATCCATGTTGAAGCATGTATCAGTACTTCATTTATTTTTATTGCTGAATAACAATTCCACTCTATGTATATAGCACAGTTTATTGGCCAACTTACCAGTTGACAGATATTTCAGTTGTTTCTACTTTTTGGCTATTATGAATAATACTGCTTTGAATATTCTTATACAAATTTTGTGTGGATGTTGCTGATTCTTTTTAATACTCTAAAAAATAAAAGACATTCTATTTATCCCATTTGCAGAGTCCATATTTCTCCTCCTAGCACCGTTTCTTTGCTTCCAGGATTTGTCTTTTTTGCCTGCTGGTTGAAGTATGTGCACTCTGTCTCCAGAGGGCCGCCATTTCTACTGCGTCTGACCATGCCACTCCCCTGCTTACAACCCTTCAGTGGCTTCTCATGGTTTTCCTCATAATCTGCTTTTCTCCTTTGCTGTCATATCATTCTCCCTTTCAGACTGTCCCCTTTTCAGTTCCTCAAAAAAGGACCAGACCCTGCCTGCCTGATCACCTTCCACAGGCTGTTTCTTCAGGATCCAGTATTCTTTCTCCGTCCATCCCTGTTAACGTCTGAATGTCCAAGAATCCTTCAGCTTTCAACTCTACTGTCACTTCCTCAGAAACTTTTGTCCTAACTCCCCAGACTAAGTAAATTCCCCTTTATTTGGGACTCCCTGCTTTTTCTTCGACGCATTTATCAACTTATAACAATTTGTATTTGTGTGGTTACCTGGTTAATGTCTGTCTCCCTCCACTAAACTGTAGGATCCATGAGCAAGGGCTGTTTCTGTTTTTGCTTAGGAGTTCCTAAGGCACATAGTAGGTACTCAATAACTACTCAAAAAAAGGGAAGGGAGGAAGGAGGCTGTCTTACCAGACTATTCTTTGTTCTCTTTAATTTGTATTGCCAGGAGTCCTCAGTAAAATCTTGATAAATGTTATAAGCCAAATCTGTGCTATATTAAGGGAAATGAATGTCCAGGCATGTCCCATGCTTGGGATGGTGCAGCAGGGGGAAAACAGGTGTCCCCTGCTAATGCTCCTCACAGAAACAGGGTGGGGAGAGGAGAGACCAGTGGTGTACAAAGGAGCCAGGGCAGCAGGGTGACAAGTCGGGAAACACAGCCTGTGTCCAAGGGCACCCAAGAGGGTGTCTGGGAACCACTCATGTGTCTCCTAGGGACATTTTAGTGGGCTAATTTCCAGCAAATTGATGGTGTCTCCTCCACTGTAATTTTGTAAGTTAATGGAAATATTTCTTTCATTTTTAGACATACTGTAATAGAAACAAGACATTTGGGTTATAGGCACATGAAAGAATTGTGACCCAGCAAGGTTGAATGATTTGTTCTAGATCACATGGGGCACTAAATGGAATAGTTCAGACTAAAATTAGCTAGTTCGATCTGGTCCTACCTTTCAACAAAACTAAGCCTAATAACACAAAGCTAGCCTCTCAGTTTAATACCCTTGGTGACCTTCTGACTACAAAGGCAGGCTTCATCTTTCCCCCAGAGCTTTGGAGCTTTACAGTAGCAGCCTCTGACAGCCAAGAGCAGATTCCGTGTCGCTTCCTGTTTGAAAACTTGAGTCTCCCTTTGGCCCACTTGCTGAATTCCTGCCTGAGTGATATTTCCTGCCTGAGTGATGGTCCCAGCTGGTGGCTCACTTGTAAAAGTGAGATATCAAGTCCTTCTTTTCTACATTGTTCAGTTTTGGGATTTTGTTTTTTATGATTATGAATTAATACACACATTATATAGAACATTAGAAAATACAAGAAAAAATAATGGAGCAGACCAGTAATCTGGTGATTGTTTTACATGTATTA